TCAAATAATATACACTTACAATTGTGCTCACAAGTCATAAATACCTGTCCAGCAAAAGCTACTTGTTTTGCGTATCGTACATGTGATCCATCAATCAGTGATTCAAATTCGTTTATTTCTCTGATTGCAAACAAATATATATTATATAACAATTAAATATTATATAACAATTATATATTTTTAATCTAAAAACTTTAAATTTCGAGTTTAATTAGTCCTATAATATAAATTTATAATAAATACATGATATACATGTTGGCTATAATTTAAGTGGAATATTTTAAATATAATATAATTCTTGATTCTGAAAATTTGGTCCTATTTGTAACTTATACTGTAACAAAAATACCTTTAGTTTTCTAAGTGTGGGATTTATATACAAGTTTCTCATGTATAGTATACAGTATAATAATATTTTTTATAAAATGTTTTATTTAGTCTTAGTTATCTGAAAAATTAAATTAGAAAAATAACTTATTTAAAACCTTTGAAATATTTTATATTTTCAAAAGTTATCTGTTTTAATAGTTAGCTTTATTTGACATTTAAAGTAGTTTTATTTAGCAAAATATTTTTAAATGTATTCTAAGTCGGACGTAGGTTGAATTGCTGTCCAAAAGAAAAAAAGTATAGATATAATACACAAGGTATTAATAGTTTTGCTAGGAAATGACATTCCAATGGTAAGAAGAATATTTTAAATAGAATTATTATTATACTCTGTATACTTTGTGATTTTAGTAATAATTTCCTAATTAATCATGACAAATATATAATTGTATATTCATTTCAATTATATTCTAATAGAATATTCTATCTGAAAAATATATTAGAATATTTACATAATAAACATACTGTATCTTCTATATGTTAACATTGGAAAAAGATTTATACTATATAGAATATTCTGTAGTGCATTTAAATCTGCTTTTATGGGAAAAATGATCAGAATGTTATGAAAATTTATTTATAAAATTAAAAATAATATTAATATTGGAACAAAGCAATTCATTTTATTATATGACAATTGATAGATGAGTATTAGATAATAATATGAGTACAGAATGAATCAATTTAAAATACATGGTAAATTATACAACAAAAAGTAGATAAATTTCATGAAACTTACGATAATTTTAAAATTTCGTTGCTTCCTATTTTTAATTCAAAAACAGTTGAAAACATAATGTCCTGAAAAAAATATTATTTTAATATTTATTATCTCATATTAATTATTAAATGACATAGAGTCTAATTAAAGTAGTAGAGAAATAAACAAGCTTACCTCAAGACTGACATGTTTGGTAACGGTTTGAGTGACATTCAAATGACTTCGAATGGCTTCACTGTATTCTTCCTAAAATGAATTTATTTAAAATAAATAAAATTATAATTTCATTTTATTCATAATACAGTAGCATAGTATTATGGATTGAAAAGCTTTCGTATATTAATATTAAAACCTTGCATTTGACAGCTTACAAATAGATTAAGTTTTTAAAACTACTCTATAAATAAAAAATATTGATATAACCAAAATACTGGAAAAACTTCAGAATAACTTTATATTACTTGAAATTATTTTATATTTATTTTAGACATGTCTAAAAATTTAATAAAGATTAAACAATACCTGAAATTGTTGGCCTTCGATGTCCACTAAATAGACGCGGCATTTATCACTGTGAAGAAGTCCCTGGGCTTTGATCATAATCTTGTTTATTAAGGCGTCCAAAGAGGATGTCTCTTGGAATATGGATCTTGCTAAGCTCAACAATAACTTCATTTTCATTGTTTCATATTGTATTCAATGTATAAAATTAGAATTTGTATGTAGTATTTTAAAATTTTAATTTTAAAGTTTATTCATGCTTTTAAAGTTCAATGATTTAAAATTAGTTCAAATTATAGACAAACGCTAAAGTCAAAATCACAATTACTACAACATTATAGTAGTTACTATAGGATTACTATAGCCAATAGCATTTGAGTCTAGTTTATCATCACTGATAGTACATAAGATGCATATTTTATATAAATAATTTACCTGGTTTCGTTTATACTCGTTAACTGACATTTCAAACAACTGGGCGTTTTGGAGACCTATTCCACAAAATGTCAAATATTTTTGAAAAACCTATTATGAGTGAGCAAATATTTCAATTAATTACAAAAATGCATTTATTATATTTAAATTGCTTCACTTTTCATTCAATTTATTGAATACCTGTTCATCGCGTTTAGTAAACGATTGTTGCAATGAATGGCTGTTTTTATTGATACATTGGGCCACTCCTATCACATCCCCACTGAAGTTCAATATGGGCTGGCACATCTGACAGTAAATATGTCCAACATTTATCATTTCTATTTGCATACTCTTTATTTTATTAACAAATTATTTATTAATTACAAAAATATTAACATTAGATTTTAGAATATATATAAATATGGGACACATTTATACGAAATAAAGACAATCCAATGACTGCTAATCAAAGATAAAATATCGATAGTCATAGGAATCATACACTAAAAAAGATTCATAGATTAACAGTCACTTGGATTGTCATTATTTTGTAAACCTGTCATATTATGTGGTTTATTTTTATGTTTAAGGTTTTTAAGCTTTTCTGACTACTATTTTTATAATATTACTCACAATAGCTTTTGTATGATAACCGGTGCGAAAATCCACTTCTTTATTAAATCTGTTGTCCTAATAATTTAAAACAATCAATATTTAGTGCTAGTTTTAAATATTTGTATTTAAAAATATTATCGTTTTAAAAAAAATCAACAAAATTATTTTTTAGAGTTAATTCAGTATTGAATCCAATACTAATATCTATATTATAGATTCTATAATATTCTCGAAATGATTAAGTCAAACACAAAACGAAAAATATTTTTTGCTATAAAATATATAAAAGCATTTCCTTGTTTAACAAATTTGAAAAATATGAGACAAGTATTTACTAAATACCTGATAAGCATCTGTAATGTTGACGTTTTCCTTAGTGAGGGCCACATGTCCTGCGATTCCACTTCCTATCAATTAAATACAACTCTTTTTCACCATATCTTACATTATATTACAGTATATTATATGTATATTAGTATTTTTATTTATAGTTACAATATTGCATTTAACTAAACCTAAAGGTAAATAGATAAATTTCAAAGTCAAAATTCTACTGTATATCTCGAATAATTAAATAAATAGGTGTTTTACAATCATATTCCCAAGTCAAATTCTCTTTTCAATGATTTATATACTTTCTGTACTTTTCACCAAATTCTCTGGTAATTAAAAATAAGTAATTGAAAAAACATTTTAAATAATATTCCTAATTATATCTGAGCTAATATTACAGATAAATGTCATTTTACCATTACATAATAGCTTGCATATTTTCCTGTAGTTTAAAATCTAGTATGTACTACAGGTTAAAATTATATACTAGTATGTTTATAAGAATAACTAAAGGTAATATCGAAAAATAAAAATGAAGCCTAATCTGAACATTACATGAATTATTTACTCATTAAATTTAATGATTAAACCATTGAGTGCCATAGTGTAACATAGGGTCCATTTCCCTATGTTTTAATCTTAGTAAATAACACTTTTAGTAACTTTTGGCAGTCGATGCATTAAACTTTTCATACTATATTAATGTTTATTCTCATAATATGCTGTATATATTTATACTATATAATACAGTAAAATATATATTAGCATAATAACCATGGAATAAAAGGGCTGAATTTATTCACATTAATACAAATAATTCTTAAATCCAAAAATATTGTATTAACATTACTGTACTATTAAAGTTTCTAAATTGACATGTCTTCTAATATGTTTTTACATACAGTAGATAGTTACATGTTGAAAAATTCGAGAATATCAAATTATAAAGTAATACTGTTTAATATTTGACATATATTTGAGTATAAATAAATGAGAAATAAGTATTAGAAAACTGACCGAAAGGGAGGGGAAGGTGTGTGTGAAGTTGTGCGGCACTCAACGCATCCTTTAGGAGACTGTCTGACGTGACATCAAATAGTTTTGCC